AGGCAAAGATTTTCCAGCTTTCCCGTGCCAGTGGTATGCAGAAGAAGGCATCCTTTAGATCAATCACTGTAAACCACTGAAATCTCTCAGAAACAGATGTTAACAAGGTGTAAGGGTTAGCTACAACCGGGTGGATATCTTTTGTGATACGGTTTACTGCTCTCAAGTCTTGCACTAACCTATACTTACCATTTGGTTTTTTTATCGGAAAAATGGGAGTATTAAATTCTGACTCACATTCTTTTAATATTCCTAAAATTAAAAACTGTGTGATCATTGGAGCTATTCCTTTCCTGGCTTCTAAACTAATTGGGTATTGTTTCACTCTAACGGGTCGTGCTCCTTCTTTTAATTCTATTCTAACTGGGGTAGCAGCTTTGGATTTTCCAGGGACCCCTGTTTCCCATACCCAAGGCACTACAGCTTGTTCTATTTCCTGAGGTATCTCTTCTTTTTCTACTTCTTTCACAACAAAAATTTTTGCTAAGTTCTCTTCCGGAATTTCCAATTTGACTCTCCCTTTTTCAAATATAATTTTAGCTTGTAAGGCTGAAAGCAAATCTCTTCCTAGTAAACATTCAGGACTGTTAGGCATATACAAAAATTGATGGTCTAGCTCTTTTCCTTGAAATTTAATATCTAAGGGTCACAGAAACGCCTTTTCCTCTACCTGTCCTGAAACTCCTACCACCCATGCAGTTGAATCGCTTAGTGGCCCCATCAATTTATTCATTGCTGAAAAACTAGCTCCAGTATCTATTCTAAATTCCGTCGGCTTCCCCTCTACTTCTAAAACAACCTTTAAGTCTGAATCAAGCTGGCTTCGACTCCGATAATTCCCTAACATAAATGCTTGGGCGACACCTTGTGGCGTGCCCATATTAGCAGGGTTTTGCGAATTTGCAAAGCTTTGGGGGCTCCACGGATTCATTCCATTTCCAGCATTCAGTGGGCATTCGTTTTTCCAATGTCCTTGTCCTTTACAAAGAGCACACTGATTTGGTCCTATCCTACCACGTCCTCCCCCATATTGATTTCCAAATCCCGACTGGTTGTTAAATCCTCTACCCATTCCTCCCCTTCCCCTATTACCGTGACCTCTTCCTCTATGGCTACTGGCCCCATTGTTCCCTCCTGAAGCTTGCAGGAGTGCTAACAAGCTTGTCTGCTGCTTCTTAGTAGCCTCCTTTTCTCTATTATTATACACCTTCCATGCCACTCCTAATAATTTTTCCAAATCTCTTGTCTCTTCACCCTCCAACTTCTGAAGTTTTTTCCTAATGTCTTCTTGTGATTGTCCCATAAAAATCAATGCTAATTGCAATTTCCCTGATTCAACTTCAACATCCAAATCTGTATATTTCCAAGCTGTCTCTTTTAACCTCTCTAAAAAGGCTGAGGGAGATTCCCCCTTATCTTGCCTTACCGAGTATAACTTTGACCAGTTCAGCGTTTTTGGTATCCCACTTCGTACTCCCTCTACCAATAATTCTTGATAAATTCTTAACCTTTTATAATCTTTTTCTACATTCGGATCCCACTCGGGATCCTCCCGCGGCACAAAATCATTCACTGTTCCCCGCACCGCCCGGGGCAGAGTTCGAATTCTGTCTTTCGCTTTTTCCACCATCACCCTTAATACCATTTCCTTTTCTGTTGAATCCAGAATTGTATCTAACAATACTTGTAAATCATTCCAGTCTGGATTTTGAGTTTTTATAACCATTTTTATAATACGAGCTACCCGCTCCGGGTTTTCTCTATATGTTCCAGCTGACTGTTTCCAAATTAATAAATCACTAGGTGAAAAAGGAACTTTTACCATGACTTTTCCCCCATCCGCTCCAACTGCCTCCCGCAAAGGGGCCATTAATCTAGGGGGTGAGAGCGACACGTCTGCCTCCCTTCCCCCTCCCTGTCTCCTTTCTCTACTCCTTCCCCTTTCTTTCCGCCCCTTCCGAGTTCGTTCTGCTAGCGGAGTTCTATCAAAATCACATCCTCGTCCTTTTGTTTCTTCCTCATCCGAGGACGATTCTAACGGGGGCATGGAGGGTGACCGTGCCCTCACACGTGAAGGGAGATTATCTCCCGGGGGCGCACCTGGAGTTCTACCGGGGGAGACTAACAAAGACACATCCTCCTCTGGTTCTGGAAACCGTATTTTCCGCTCATATTTATCATCCAATCCTATCAATATACTCCGCTCTTGACATTTTTTGCATTTATCATCCTCCAGTTCCAGTTCTTTCAATACTAAGATACCACATTCCTTTTGCCATTCAGTGTTATGTTCTAAATAATAAAACAAATCTAGGTACGGTATTTCATCCCACTTCTCATTCTCTCGTAAATATCGCATCAAAGGGGTTATAATTTCCAAAGTCAATGAACCATTTCTAGGCCACTGCATTCCTTCTGTCTCATATTGAGGCCATACATTATTACAATAATCAATCAATTGTTTCCTGCTTAACTCTTGTCCAAAATTTCCTTCCTTCCAATGTTTTAACAAGCAACCAAGTGGAGAATCGCTAGGGATATCTTTTTCTGCACAAGATAGTGCTCTAAAGGTTTTAAACGGCATCATACTGACTCACACACACCACAATCTGAATTCATCAAATTCACATTAACACAACGATACAAAACAATACGTTTAACGACCAGCGCGACAACACAACAATATAAACCAATAACATATTCCAAAACCAAAACCAGAACCAAAACCAACTCGCCAATTCTCCCTCTGAGTGGCGAGTGCTGGTACAGCGCGGCTTTCGCTACGTCTTACGACCAGCGCCTAGGCTTCCCAACCGAGGTACCTTTAGCCCAACCCAGCGGGAAACTCACGGTCCCGTCTTATAGGCAGGCTTCCAACCAACAAACCTAAAGGAATAAAGCACCTCCGGGCTTACCTGGATGGTTGTCCGGCGGGCGCGGGGTCGGGCACGGGTCGATGTCTCCCCAGAAATCACCTGGTTGCCGGCGTGGAGTAGATCAGCGCGTGAGCCGCCCCAGCTACCCCCGGAGTCCCACCTGGTGTCGCCAGAAAACTGTTGCCCGTAATCCGAAAGAAACACAAACCAACAGAGTGCCGGTTTATGCGGTGCTTTATTCGGGGCCCGGGAACCTGAGGACTAGCGTCCCAAGTCAGGATTCCAAAGACCCTCATTTTCAGTTCAGCTTTTATACACAAACAAGTTTTACGTGCAGTTTCCACGGCAAAACAGTTACAGTTTCCACAGCAAACCAGGTGCAGTTACAAACAAGCTTATACTTCATACTGATAACAATTAATAATCATCTACCCTCATCATAAATCTGCTTAAGTTGTCTTATCCCTAGAAACTGTTTAACAGACCTTTACCACATCCTAGGTAACAAATCGTTATATACTGCTTGACTAGATCCTTTGATTATGGTTTCCACTTCACACAAACGAGGTTGCTACTTTGGAGTGTTGCTTTCTAGGCCTACTCTTCTACTAAGCCTTAGCTATTCTACTACTAATTTAAATTGCTTTGCAACAAGCCCAGAGCCCGCCCACGTGTCAGGGGGCCCGATCCGCTCCCTGTTCTCGTTGCCCTGGGGCAGCCTCTGGTGTCCCCCCGCCCGTGGGGCTGTTTGGGTGCCTGGGGCACAGCCGACCTTTGTGCAGGGCTGTGCCCTCGGGGGCTGTTGGGGGTGGGCGGGAGGTGTTTTTTGGGGGTGCTGGGCTGGGTTGGGGGCAGAGCCCTGGCAGGGGGCGGGGGGATGCGGGTCCCCCCCACGATGGGGGTTGGTGTTGCTGGGTCAGGCCCCGCCGGCTCCATTGTCAGCCCGGTGCTGATGGGGGGGACACAGCGGGTTTGGGGCCCCCCAGGAGTGCTGGGGGTGGGTGTGGAGCCCGGGAGCTGCCGAGTGTGGAGGGCGGAGCGGGGCGATGCCAGAGCTGGGGGACCCCCAGCAGCCTGGAGGGGGGAGCACGGAGAGGGAGGAGCCCCGGGACCCCCAGGAGCCTGAAACGGGGAGCACGGAGAAGGGGAAGCCTGGACAGTGGGGACCCCTGGGATCCCTGGGACAACAAGGTGGAGAACCTGGAGAGGGGGAATGTCTGGGAACGTGACCCCTCGAAGGCGAGAGTCAGAGGAGAAGGGACCCTTGGGACCCCAGACACTCCCAGCATCCCTAAGGGGGACCCCCAACATCCCAGACAGGGGAGACCCTCCAACCCCAGAGGGGAGAGACCAGACAGGGGGAACTTCTGGGAGAGATTTTTTTTGGCTAATCTTCATATTTTTGGAGTATATTTCATCTGAATCTCAAGTTTTTGCAGTTTGAGGGTGTGGGGCTCTTCTTGCTATTTCTGAGGGGGTTTTTGCCTGAATCTCGGTGGTTTGGGTTTTTATGGGCTGAATCTTGGTGTTTGGGAGGTTTTTATGGTCACAGGATGCCCGGTGAGTTCTAAAGATGGACTTGGGCAGGAGGAACCCCCAAGCCAACACACTCAGCCCTTGTTTTCCCCCCCATCAGGATTTGTCCTTCCCAAAGCTTGGGCAGATGAAGGAGGCTGCGAGGAAGAGGAAGATGCCTTGGGCCCCCCAGGCAGGTGAGGAGGAAGTCAGTGTCCCTTTGGGCGGGTGTTGTGCTGGCTCTGTCAGCCGAGCATGGCCCCGGCTGCAGGACAACCCCGCTGGCGCCGCCGTCCTGCCGGGGCCGGAGTTGGGGGGATGTCCTTGGCCTTCCCTGTGGGCCGGAGGCAAATCCCCTGCCTGTCCTTCTTGCTTCCTGCCCCAGGCCCCGAGGTGAGGACGGAGAGCCCGGAGGACAAATCCCCCCGTGAGACCCTGGTGGGAGAGGCCGTTTTGAAGGGCTCCCCGGCGCAGGAAGGCAGCGGGGAGGAAAAGGGCCGGAGATCCCCCCGCAGGAGGGGCTGCAAAGCCAGCCCAGGGTGCTCTGAGGAGGAAAGAGCCAGCCTGTGCCGGGAAGGTGGCTGGAGCTTGAGCCAGAGCTCTGACCTGATGGTCCCTGATCCGCCTCCCAGCAGGGAGAAGCCCTTCAGGTGCTTGGAATGTGGGAAGAGCTTCAGGAAGAGCACCAAACTAATCCGACAGCAGCACATCCACACTGGGGAACGGCCCTACACGTGTAGGGAATGTGGGAAGAGCTTCAGGGACAGCTCCACCCTCATCCGACACCAGCACATCCACAGTGGGGAACGGCCCTACACGTGTGGGGAGTGTGGGAAGAGCTTCAGGGACAGCTCCCACCTCTGCACCCACCATCACATCCACAGTGGGGAACGGCCCTACACATGTAGGGAATGTGGGAAGAGCTTCAGGGACAGCTCCACCCTGATCCGACACCAGCACATCCACAGTGGGGAATGGCCCTACACATGTAGGGAGTGTGGGAAGAGCTGCAGGGACAGCTCCACCCTGATCCGACACCATCACATCCACAGTGGGGAACGGCCCTACACGTGTGGGGAGTGTGGGAAGAGCTTCAGGGACAACTCCACCCTGATCCGACACCATCACATCCACAGTGGGGAACGGCCCTACACGTGTAGGGAATGTGGGAAGAGCTTCAGGGACAGCTCCACCCTGATCCGACACCAGCGCATCCACAGTGGGGAACGGCCCTACACATGTGGGGAGTGTGGGAAGAGGTTTCAGCGCAGTGGGAATCTCCTCAGGCATGAGCAGACACACACGTATGAGAGGCCCTTCCGCTGCACCGACTGCGGGAAGGGCTTTAAGCGGAACTCCAACCTCATCATCCACCAGCGGACGCACAGGGATGAGAGGCCCTTCCACTGCACCGACTGCGGGAAGGGCTTCAACCGGAACTCCCACCTCATCACCCACCGACGCATCCACAGCGGGGAAAGGCCCTACAAGTGTGGGGAGTGTGGGAAGAGCTTCACCCGGAGCTCTAACTTGACCAAACACCAACGGACCCACCAGTAAGGGGAACCCTACGAGTGCCCCGACTGCGGGAAGAGCTTCGGCCGCTGCTTCCACCCCGAATGAAGCCCCTGATGGTGAAGCAACCCCTGGAGTGCAGTGACTGTCAGTCCATCCCTTTCGACCACAAAGGGCCAGTCCCCTTTCCCAGGGGCAGCTTCTTCCAACAGAACCCTTCCTGGGGGGTGTGTGGAGATTCCTGCCATGGCTGGGGACCCCCAAAGGTCACTAATGGACGTTGAGAGCAGAGATCTCCCCACCAGTGTTGGTCTGGGGGAGTTCCAGCCATCTCTAATTAAGAATTATTGCTTTTGTGCCAGTTTGAGTAGAATTGCTTCAACAATTGCTTTAGTGTAGAGCACTGTCCTGTCTTATCCTGTACTCCTGGTAGTTTTAGTGTTTGTATTGTGCAGTAAATAATTCTGATGAAGATCTTTTGTCTGATCATTTGTAACCCTAAGTAAGTTCATTTCTATCAGTAGTTCTGATTTGCCATCATTAAAAGCTGGGGGACAAAAGTGGTTCAGTCACAGCTCTGTAATTCCTCTAAACTGAAACTGTTGGTATGATGCAAGGCTGAGATTGGATCCAGCAGCCCCCAGCACCCCACAGGAAGTTGGGAGCTCAGGGGGGCCACCCCCTGTGCCAACCCCCCTGTGCCCAAAGACCCCCATGGGACCGTTGGACCCACCAGCCCACCTTCCCTTTTCCACCCTTCTCCCTGTTCCTTCCACTTTCCCATTGTCCCCTCAATCCCCGTTTTCCTCCCGACCAGTTTTGGGCTCCCAACCCCCACTTTTTACCCCCTTTCCTTTGGTTGTTGAAGGATAAAATGAGGCTGCACACACAGAGTTCCATTTCAGGACTGGTTTGTCGACACTTTTCTGTGTCCCCTTTTATTCCTCTTCTCTCGTGAGCAGCACTCAGTGTTTGTCTTTTAGTCCATCAGAATTCCCAGCATGGCCCCAAAGCAGTGCCCTGATCCCACACATTCCCCTCCCCTCACGTGCTGGCTGTTCAGCCACCAGAGAACAACACAGGCTGGTCATGGAGGCTGGTTAAAGAGCATTTCCACTTGGAGAAACAACCTTCTGTCTCTCCAAGCACTCAGCCAAGGTCCATCCTCCCTTTGCATTCCCATGAACTCAGGGCAGGTGCAGAGTGACTCCTCTTGGTCCCACCTCTGCCCCTGTTTTGTTTGGACACGCAGAGTTCACGGCCAAGAGGGCCAGGACCCGGGCTCCTTGTCTTGGGGCTTCTCCCATGTGCTCCCAGAGGACTTGGAATACTGAAACCAGGCAGATTCTGAACCCCTGCTCCTGGTGCTGCCACAGTGCCCATACACTGGCCCTGCAGGCATGGCCTGCACTGAATGGCCAGTGCAGCAGGAGCCGTGGCTGCGGCAGGAGCCGGGATTGCTGAGAGATGATCCAAGCAATCAGCCCTCCCCTGAGGATTTCTGCATTTCACAGTTGCCTTCATTCACTGTATCCTGCATCATCCTCCCGGCTTCTGCTTCCCTGGGAGGCCCAGTTTGGCTCTTCTGCCCACGGGAATTATGAATGATAAATGGAGGGTAGGCACGTTTTGATCTGTGATACAACTAAAATAACAAGGATTACTTACAGGGGTGTTACAGGGCCCCTCGCCTCTCCGGTGCCACACGCAGAGCCCAGTCGGGGCTTGGTTACAGGGATTCAGGGAGAGGTCCCAGGTTGGACTCGATGATCTTGGAGCTCTTTTGCAACCTTCCTGATTCTGGGATTCTTTTCCCGTTGGAGCTGCAGCACGTTGGCTTTCCCAGGGCAGCTTCCTTTAGGACAGCCTTGCTGAGAGCTTTGCAGCTGATGGCACAGGGATCTGTGAGGAGCAGCCCAGAGCAGCTGCTGCCTTAGGTGGGGGTGGCCGAGGGGAAGCCCTCCTGTGTCACCCCAGGCTGTTGCAGGCAGGCAGTGCTGGGGAGGAACACACTGCAGCCTGGCCCCAGGGAGTGACCTCTGGGAGATGAGACTTTTGGGGAGAAATTGTTCCCTGGGAGGGAGTTGAGGCCCTGGGCCAGGTTGCCCAGAGAAGCTGTGGCTGCCCCACCGTGGGAAGTGTCCAAGGCCGGGTTGGACGGGGTTGGAGCCAGCTGGTGTGGTGGAAGGTGTCCCTGCCCAGGTGTTCTGATCCCATTAGGGAGAGATGCCTCAGCCCGAATTAAGGTGTAAATGAGACCATTTGCCCAAAACAGGCGGATTTTATTTAATGCAGATTTTATTTAACACAGATTTTATTTAACAATAAATGTGAGTTAAAGAGATAGGTAGAGGGAATGGGTAATTAAATGGAATCTACAGGAAATCTTCCTAATCTTATGTCTTGTCTTGTCTCTTAATTCCTATAGTCTAACTGTAAACATCTATCTCTGTGCCCTAGAAATATAGTAATTATTATAATATGTAAATATAGTATATCTATCTTATGTAACTCTATCTTCGAAGTAAATCTACAATAGTCTATCTAAATATTATAACTACATGTTATAATAATTATTAATTAAATTACTTAATTACTTAACTAGCCTAATTAATTAATTAAAGTAGTTAATTAAGGCATATTTTGTTTGTTTGGCAAAAATCGTGTATGTTGTTATCCTGCAGGGAGTTCCTGGGAGCAAAATGTCCTGTCTTGTTCATTCCCTGCAGGAGCAGTCAGGCATTGGAATCAGTGTCTCAGGTGGGTGGTGGTGTCAGTGTCTGTGTTGGAAGCACTGCAGAGGTGTCCGGGCCCGCCTGGCGCTGGAGCGGGGCCTAATCCTGGGGCTGTCCCGCCGTGCAGGAGCGGAACAGCCTGCGCAGAGCCCCGAGCGCCCGCCTGAAGCGGGAGAGACGTTTGGGGGGGACAGGCAGCTGCCTGCTGAGGGCCTGGGCCTCCAGCAGGGGAGGCGAGGGGCTGGGGGGGCAGCAGGGGCTGCGTGGGGCAGGGACCGGGCTCTGTGTCCCTGCCCGTGGCACCTGCTCGTCGAAGGCAGGAGAAGCTTCAGTCCCCCCGGGGGACAGGGCTTCCAGCTGGGGAGGTGAGGCGCAGAGCGGCACTTGTGTGCACAGGGCAGGTACCCGGCGCTCAGCCCATGCCTGGCGAGGGACGGGCACTGGGAGCCCCTCTGCTGCAAGAATTCTCAGCCTGTCTTCTGTGCCTTGTCCTTCCTTGGGACAGCTCCAGCACGCTCAGTTCTTCCCACTCGTCCTCCTCCGGGAGCAAGGGCTTGACCCCAAGCTGGGGACGCTCATGTGTTCCCCGTCCGCCAGTGCCAGCTCTCTGTCGCTGTCATCTTCCCATCGGGACAGCCAGGAGGGTGTGTAGTCTTCCCAGTCGGACACTTCTTGGTAGCTCTTCGCTCCATGGGACAGCTCTTCCTCGCCGTATTCTTCCCAGTCAGACACTTGGCCTCTACTCTCTTCTCCTTGGGACTGCTCTTCCTTAATGTTTTCTTCCCAGTCGGACACATCTTGGTAGCTCTTCACTTCTCCTTGGGGCTCCTCTTCCTCGCTGTGTTCTTCCCAGTCAGACAATTCCTGGTAGCTCTTGACTTCTCCAGGGGACAGCTCCTGCTCAGTGCAGTCTTCCCCCGGGACACTTCTTGGTATGTGTTGATGTTTCTTGGGACAACTCTTGGTCTCCCTCATCTCCCCACTGGGAAATGTCTTGGTCAGCGTAGTATTTCCAGCCTATGCCCTCCCCAGGGAAGGGCCCCTCGTCAGTGTCTTGCACTGCCAGGACTGAGTCCCCTCCTGCTCCCTCCTCCTGCTCGCTGAGGGCCTGGGCTTTCACCTGGGAAGGTGAGGGGCTGCTGGGGGAGCAGGGGCTTTGTGGGGCAGGGACTGGGCTCTCTGTCCTTTCTGCTGGAACTGTTGTTACTGTGTCTGTATCCATGGTTTGTTCCAGGTTTCTCTGTTCCTCCAGCTCCTGGCCAGATCCCTGGATCTCAAGCTCAGGCTCGCTCAGGATCTCACGGGTGATGGACTGGTCTGTGTCCAGCAGGGCCTTGCTGCCCTCTGAGGGGCTGTGTGGGGCAGGGACCGGGCTCTCTGTCCTTTCTGCTGGAATTGTTATCATTTTTGTAGCCGTGCTTTGTTCTGGGACCCTCTGTTCCTCCGGCCAGCAGCTGAGCACACGCTCAGCCTTCCTCATGATCTCCCTGAAGAGGCAAAAGACCATGTCCAGCAGATCCTGGGTGCTGTCTGGGGGGCTCTGCGGGGCAGGGACTGGGCTCTCTGTCCTTTCTGCTGTAAGTAATGGCACCATTTCTGTAGCCGTAGTTTGTTCCAGCTCTCTCTGTTCCTCCAGCTCCTGACTGGATCCCTCGATCACAGGCTCAACCTTCCTCATGATCTCCCATGTGATGGACTGCTTTGTGTCCAGCAGGGCCTCACTGCCCTCTGAGGGGCTGTGCGAGGCAGACACGGGGCTCTCTGACTCTGGTGCTCTTACGGTTTCTTGCATTTCTGCATTCCTGGTTTGTTCCAGGTCTCTCTGTTCCTCTGGCTCCTAGATGGATCCCTGGATCACAAGCTCAGCCTTCCTCACGATCCCACATGTGATTGTCCTAGTTAGGACAGCTGAGACCAGTTCACCATGGTATGGGTGTAACCCAAAACTGTGTATTCTATAGCCTTCCATGCCATTTCCCAGAAACTGTTAGCAGTAGAGGCCTGTAGATGTTCCTGTCCTCATACCCTTTTATGGAATTCCCCGCTCTGAGGGAAGGACTGAGGGAAGCATTCCTGCCTGAACTGGAGAATATATAAACTTGGAGTTTTGGAACCTTTTTACCACTCATGGGATCCAGAGGAGGACTGCAGCTCACCGCTCTGGGCCAGACTGAGACCACCCCCCTCAACTGGACTGCAATCACCACTTTGACCAGACTGCAACAGCTCTCCCACCAGCAGGTTTTTCCGCTCTCCCTTTACTTTGGACTCAGGGGGGCCCGGGGAACACTGTTTTGTTCATGTCCCAGGGTGCTGGGTTGTACATTTGGGTTTTTGTGGATTGAAGCCGGTTGTTTCTCTGTATAATCATACTTGTGTTATTTTATTAAATTGTTATTCCGACTTATGGTCTCTCTTTTGAGTTGAGTTCATTTCCCCTGCTGATTTACTTTTAAACCAGCACAGTGATGTACTGCTTTGTGTCCAGCAGGGCCTCGCTGCCCTCTGAGGGGCTGTGTGGGGCAGGGACCGGGCTCTGTGTCCCTGCCCATGGCACCTGCTCTCCAAAGGCTGGAGAACCTTCCGCCTCTTCCTCAACAGAGGCAGAGGCCCCTGGGGCTCCTCCTCCTCAGCAGCTCCGGCCGGGGCAGCACCTGCCGGCTCGGTGTCCGTGGCACTCACCGGGGCAGGAGCTGGACTGGGCAGGTCACGGGCTGCCTCTGCTGCCACCTCTGTGCCCACACTGCTGGCAGAGCCGGACCCCTCCTGGGGAACAATCTGGGGGTCCCCAGCATTCAGCAGGCGCCAGGGTTTGTCCCAGATGCTGTAACCGACATCATCTCCCCACTGGGACAGCTTTTTCTCACTCCTGTCTTCCCTTTGGGGCAGCTCTTGGGCACTGTAGTCTTCTTCCTGAGATTGCTCCTTGTCTGCCTTGTCTCTCACTTGGGAGAGCTCTGGGTCTCTCTTGTCTTTCCATTGGGACGGTCCATGCCCTTGCACATCTTCTTCCCACTGAGGCAGGTCATGGTATCTCTCACCTTCCCACTGGGACAGCTCTGGGACTGCCACATCTCCCCATTAGGAAAGTTCTTGGCCTCTCAAATCTCCCCATTGGGACAGCTCTTGATAGGTCTCTTCTTCTTCCCTTTGGGACACCTCTTGCACTGTCACATGTTCTTCCCATCGGGTCAGCTCCTGGTATCTCACACCATCTTCTTCCCATTCGTACAGCTTCTGGCGTCTCACAGGTTCTTCCCGTTGGTACAGCTCTGGGTGTCTCCCATCCCGCCATTGGGAGAGTTCTCGGACTCTCCCATCTCCTTCAAATTCGTAGAGCTCTCGGTGTCTTCTGGCTCCCCGTTGGGAACGTTGTTGGACTCTCACTTCTTCTTCCCATGGGTAGAGCTCTTGGGGTGTCACGTCTTCTTCCCACGCGGCAACATCTGCGCATTGGGAAAGGTCTGGATGGGTGTCGTATTTCCAGTCGTCGTCCACGTGGGCAAAGGCCCCCTCCTCAGTCTGATAGAGAATTGTGTCTTCTTCAAGCTGACGCCCAGCCCAAAGAGCTCAGCAGCCTCAGCACAGCAGGATGTTAAACGCTGCAGAGCTGCCACTGTGTGAGCCACGAGGGCGGCGGCGGCAGCGTAAAGCAGCTCCTGGACAAGATGGTTTAAGGTCTTGGTGTGGGCCTTCAGTCGCCTTAGGTTGAAAAGGCTTCCAGGGGTACGATATGGGATGTAGATCCCACCTTCTTCATCGAGGTCTGCCGTGGCCCTTTGGAGCATCCTGCTGACAAAGATTGTGAACAGGGTTGGTGCGAGAACGCTGCCTTGTTTCCCACCATTGGATATTAGAAAGGGCTCAGAGAGTGCATTGCCATATCTGACTTGGCCGTGCTGATCCTCATGGAGTGAGATGATCATTTTAAGGGACTTGGGGGGACAATGTAAATGTTCCAAAATCTGCCACAGACCTTTTTTGCTCACAGGATCGAAAGCCTTGGTGAGCTCAACAAAGGTTCCAGAGAGACCTTTGTTCTGTTCCCTGCACTTCTCTTGCAAGAACAAACCCCATGTCTGTGGTCCCCCTGTTGGCTCTGAAACCACCTTGGACAGGCCTCTTTGGACACCTGGCCTCAAATTCTATAGCAGGTTTTATGCTATGGATGGCAAGCACTGAACTGATATTTGCCAAAAAAGGACCAAATAATCTTTTCCCAGAGACAGATTCTCTTTTGTCACTGATCTTCTTGCTTATTCCAAGAAAGACTGCACCACCTAAGCTACCAAGACAAGCCATGAATCACAGAATCCTAGCAAAAATCAAGAACTAACAGCAAAGAACAGGGATGGTTTGGTTTAGTGCTGAATGCCATGGGTGTACACGGGAGGGGAAGTGATGGCTGAAGCTTCTAAAAATCTGATCTCGTGGCTGCTTTGCTGTTTGTGCTTGAGATCAACTCTAGTGACGGGCAACTTCAGCTTCAGCCAAGTGTTTCTTTGCGCTTGGCTTTTTCCAGGCAACTGCATAACATTGGATGCAACATTTTGGGAAGCAGCAAGTTTTCACATTCCAGTCTCAACTGGAAGGCTGGCAGAAAACCCCCCAAAACCTACTTCTCACAGGAACTTGGAAAAAATGGCTGGAGAGCTGTCAAGAGTTAGAAATAGTCACCTTTTTGCTTAAAAACCCTCCTGACATAATGACACATTACCTCGTTGAAGGTCTCTAGCCATTTTTGCATCCCGTTCCTGTCGTGCCCAGAATTATACAGAAAAGACACAGTTAAGATGTAGCACTGATAGAGTTAAGAGTGTAGAACTTAGGTGGGAGGTTCCTGCGCCACAGAGCTCTTTCCCACACTTTCTCTTGTCAAACAATGGAGTTCCACAGCTCATTGCTTCCATTTCCATATTTTTTGGCCTTTGACCACTCTGGAAAATTTGTACATACCTGTCTTCAGCTTTACCACAGGTGTCTGGGTGCTGTTCTGAGACCCAGGCTTCTGCTCAGTCCCAAACTGATGCCAAGATGTCCCAGGCCAGTTGAATCCAGAAGTGGACTTGCAGCCAGGTGTCCGCTGACGGCGCTGCTTGGAACTGCAGATCTGCTTCTGTGGCGCTCCCAAAGGAGCTTGGTGTTGGCCTCTGCAAGTCTCTCATTAGCTCTGAAACATTCACAAGCACACACAGAGTCATCTTTGGCAGGAAGGCTTTCGCAAAGTTACCCTCCACAGCCTTGGCTACTACTCGACTTCTAAAAGCCAAGGGCATGAAGAGCATCCAAAACCAGCACATCCTTTGATCTGAGCTTGTTCACAG